AGTCAGAAAACTTACCTCAAAAATGGATTTCGTGTTTTGCAAATGAGCTTGATTCAAAGTGTTGCAATGATCAAGTTAGCTTCCTTGAATCTCTAGGAAGATAATGCAATGCTTAGCTTGAGTTGAGAGTAGGTGAAATGGTCTGGAGAAGTCCAACTGCAATGCTCTATTTTTGGTTATGAAGGATGAATAAAATGGTGTTACAGAACTGTAACAGGTGTGGAGATAACTTGTATTTGAGGTAAGGAAGCTTTTGAGATGATTTGGAAAGGAAACGCACGAGTGGTTTGAGAGATGGAAGTTATTGGTCAGTTTCTGCACAAAAATGGAGTTTTGTGTGCAATATGAGTTTGGGAGAGTTTGAGTGAGTTTGAAGTCTTATTTATTCGTCCTCCAAGTTGCATAAGAGTGTCTTAATTTATAGGAAAAGGTTTGAGAGCTTGAGGTGGTCAAAATTCAAAAATCACATGTTGTGTTCATTTGACTTATTTTTGAAGCAAGCTTGACAAATATGATTTCAAGGCAAAATACAAAGCTTGTAGGATGTTTGAATCACTTTAAACATGTATCTTTTGAGTTTCTAGGTTGAGTGTATGTAGAAGGATCTATTGAGAGGCTCAAGAAGAGTTGACATTGCATAAAGCTTTGCTTTACAAGAATGGAATGGTAACTTTCTCCCTAAAATGGAAAATTACTTTGACAATGCTTGAAGCAATTGGATAATTGATCAATCAGTTATGTAAACATTAAATTAAGGAGTGATTTGCAAGTTAGAATCCTGCAAAGCAAGATTATGCAGCATGGGTTATGGATTTGGTCATGTGTTCATCATAAAATTGACTTGTAATTCAAGTTTGAAACTCTAACTTCATCTCTTCGATTCTCCTAGCTCAAGAATGATCTCATTGAGTTCTTGGACATTTTGAAAAGTTTGGAACATAATATACAACTTTCATGTTGGACATTTTAACAAAATCCTATTGGAGCTTAGTGAAAATTGTCCAAGAAGTTAGGTCAAAAATCTGCCTAAACTAGGTCAAAATTTCACCAAGTGTTTAAGAAAAAATGCATGACTTTATGGATTCATAATTCAAAATACAAGAATTTCTAGGACTTGACCAGTAAAGAAAAGTTGTAAATATAATCAAGATCTACAACTTTAATGTTGTAAGTTTTCTTTAAATCATCTTACATCTTGGTGAAAATTTGGCATGAAGTCATGAAAAAATAAGACTTAAAACACTTAGAAAATTTTCCAAGTCTTGAAAACTTTTACTTTTTTCAAGGAATTTTGACTTTCTTGATTTCTTGATGATAAAGCTTCATATTTTTTAATATCTTGATGAATTATGATCTTTGAAATTCAATGTTGATAAAAAAATCAAAGTTTGACTTTTAATGCATCAGTTGACTTTTCCTCAGTTGACTGAACTTCAACTATCAATCAATTAATCTTGAGAGATGAATTGAGTTATGAAATTAAGTAAAAATGATGTACTTAAATCCTTGAAATTATGTTTCAAACCAATAAGTCATATATTAGGTCAAAAAATCAAAAATCAAGCCTTCTTAGTCAAAACCGTAATTTTGACCATTTTGTCCTTTTGATGATTTGAACATTTTTCTTGGGGAATTGTGATCCAAACTTGATCAATTGACACATATGACTTCAAAATATTGATATTGATAAAAAAATCTTGAAGTTTGACTGTAGGTTAACCACAATTGACTTTTTACCCAATACAGCTGATTTTCAGTCATCTGAGCAATTGACTGAGCAAAATTGTGATTCAAGACTTAAAACTTGACATGAGTATTCTTTGAGGTCTATAATGATCCATGAAAGTCATTTGAGACATTTATAAGTCCAATTGTCTTTGTGAAAATTAAAACCCTAATTGAGGCGCCAATGTTTAAGAGGTGGTTTGACCTAGTCAACACTTGTACAGGCTTGAGTTATTGAAGATCCTGTGAGAAATATCTTGAAAAAAGAGAGGAAATTTTTTTGGGTACAACACTGCTGATCTTTGAATATAATCTATTTGATTAATGGATTAAGTCCTTATTGAGAAGGCAAACTCACTATGGAAAGTGGACTGGATTAATTTTGTTAACAGTGAACCAGTATAAAAATTCTTGAGTATTTTTTATCATTGTTGAGCTTATTTTTTGGTATTAAAAAAAATTGTCACATTAGAAACCCAATTCAAACCCCCCCATTTCTTGTGTTTTATTAAACCTTCAAAAATATGATATTGACTTTAATGAGGTCTACACACCTGTTGCAAGACTCGAGACCATCATAATTGTTATGGCTATTGCGACATACAAAGGATGGAATATGAATTAGTTGGATGTAAAGTCAACATTTATAAATGGACCATTGAAAGAAGAGGTTTATGTTAGCCAACCACGAAATTTTGAAATCAAATGGCGGGAATTAAAAGTGTACACGTTGAGAAAGGCCTTGTATGGCTTCAAGCAAGCTTCAAGAGCTTGAAATAAAAGAATAGATGGCTTCCTAATCAAGGCATGATTCACAAAATTCACTTAGGAGCATGGAATGTATGTCAATGATGCTATCAAGCTTAGTTAAATCATTTTATGTCAGTAAGTGGATGATTTTCTAATTACAGAATCAAACGAAGATAAGATCATGAAGTGAAAGGATGAACTGGTGCAAAAATTTAAAATGTTTGATCTAGAAAACTTGTCATATTTCCTAGGGATGGAGTTCAAAGACACAAGAAAATGAGTGTTCCTGCACCAAAAGAAGTATACTCAAGACATCTTGAAGAGATTCAAGATGAGCAACTCTAATGCAACAGTCACACCATTGAAAACTGGAGAAAAGTTGAAAAAATACAAATGATAAGCCTATAAATGCAACATTGTACAAGCAAATCATTGAATCCTTAAGGTATATATGCAACACCATGCAAAACATTAGTCGAAGTGTTTGGTTGTTGAGAAAATTCGTGGAGAACCCTAAAAATGTCAAGAGAGTGCTAAGGAAGAAGAACACAAAAACAAATGTAAGGTACATGACTACATTGATTCAGATTTCAGTGAAGATCAAGATGAGAATAAAAGTATTGCAGACTATCTATTCATGATTGGAGGTGCTTCAATCTCTTGGATTTCAAGGAAGAAAGGAATAGTAACATTATCATCTAGTGAAGTTGAATATGTAACAACTTCTTATGCAACATGTCAAACTTTGTGGGTAGAAATGTTGCTAAAAGAGCTAAAGATCATGAAATTTAAGAAGATAAAGTTATTTGTAAATAACAAATCAATCATAGACTTAACTAACTACCCTGTGTGTCATGGCAGAAGTAAGCATATAAATATGAGATATCACTTCCTTATAGACCAAATGAATAAAGAGAAAATCGAACTTGAGTATAAAAAATAAGAATTGTAATTAACTGATATGCTTACAAAGTCATTAAAGAAGATAAGGTTTGATGAGCTAAAAGAACTCAATAGAATAAAGAGTTTAGAAAACATGAATTAAGTGGAATGTTGAATAGATATAGTTTATGATTTTAGTTGTTACTTGTAACAGAAGCAATGTGGCTTTGTTTTGAAAGTTATTAAT